TCATACAAAAAGGCACGGTTGGAGAAGCAAAGATTTCTATCAGATACCAACCGTTTTTTTTAAAAAAAGGAGTTCAACAAACAGGCCATTCATTTTGATTTACTAGTTGCTTCTCATTGTGCACAAAAATTTATATCTTCAAACTTTACCCTCTAAATACTGGACTAAAAGGTTAATTGGATGTTGTTCAATTAATGCAACGGTCATGCTTAAAATAAAAAGCACCACACCACAAGTGATATAAGTTTTATTGAAACGACTGACTGATTTTGAAGTTCAACGAAGTTATTTAACACTGACTTAGTATAAATCAGCAAGATGCCTGCACAACAACCATAAAACTGAACGAAGGGAACATTATTTAAACACGGATACTAAAGGAAAACAATTTTAAAATAATAAATAAAAACAGAGCGCTTTAAAAAAATAAAAATAAACTAAAAATTAAATCAATAATAAAAACAACAAATTATAAATAAGGGAAAAAAGAATAAAGAGAGCATAAGCAGAAATATCTTCGAGGTTTTCATCGCACAATCTTCGATGCTTACGGTCTGTATTTTGTGGATTTTCGCTTTATAGAGAAAGAGATTTCAGCGGATGGGTCATACGGTGCTCACACAATTCGTTGATGATGCGGAAAGTTCTTATTCCTTGGATTTCAACCGATCGGATCCGATGGTAAAGCTCATTTTTTCGCGCAGGCAATAGGCTTTTTTAATAATTAGTATGTGAATGATCCGATAAAATCCCTCTGAAAACCTGTGACTGGTTTCGCGGTTATTGCCGCTCGTCAGGCATGCGGACCCAGTAACCTTCATTCATGTACTTGTACTCAGGAGGTGTATTTTGGTCATAACAAAATCTTTGGGAACATCGATAAAAATGTTTTGGACAGCCTTTTTGCCGAGGTATTCGTATACTGTTTATTGCAAAACTCTTCCATAAAAATGCTCAACTTACGTATTTTGCGATTAGTAGCAGCTAACCCACCTAACAAACATTGACTAATATTATTGATCCATAAATAGGCTGGTTCTGAAAGGGATGTTCAAGCATATGTGTAAGCGGTTTTGCAAATGAGATATTTGTGAAGAATATACATCACCTCGTTATACATACCCGTAAGCCACATGTTAGTCTGACCGCTGAAAAGCTTTTTCCAGCTTTTTCAAGCACTTGCGAAGAGAGTACTAAAAGATAGACAATGACCAGGCACGGGATAACATCTCCGAGCAACCTTTTCAGAGAACGGCTAGTTGCAATCAACAGATAACGTCAAACCTCATCATTTCTTACCCAATGTTCCCATCAGGCATAAAGATTCTCATATACTAAAGGCTGGGTTTCGATACCTTAAAGCGCGATACTCTAAGCTGTGGTTATGTGTATCCTCCAATTATTCCAATCTCATGGTGGTTCCACAGATATTACAGATGGTGAAAGCCACTCGAGTTTTCACTAGAGTTAGATATTAGGGTACTTTGACAGCAGACAATTTGAGGGCTAGTCAGGTGTAACGAACCTATCTTAGAGGGTATGGACAGCATATTGATCGGGATACACGCCGTTCTTTTGTCACACAAGAAATTGGAAACTCTGATAAAGAGCTTATTATCAAGAAAACTCAGTCAGACCGAGTATAATGCTATATATATATATATATATATATATATATAGGTTGGACACAAAATACTGCTGAGGAAACTACACAATTATGGAATTTGGGGATTTGTACTGAGTTGGATAGACGAATTTCTTCGACAACGCACCATGGCAGTTCGGGGTTCTGGGTCAATTTCTGATCCTATCAGCCTAGCCCGAGGATTTCGACAAGGATCCTTGTTCGGCCCTCAACTTTTTCTAGTTTTCATAAACGATTTAATGGGCATTCTGGAGCCGCAAACTTTAGTGTTTGTAGAGGATGCAAAAACGATGGAAAACAGTGACAAAACCCGATGATTTGCTGGCACTTCATGGAACACTAAGTGCTGCTTATACATGGTCGATCAAAAACGAAATCGAATTCAATGCATCAAAATGTACGTTCGTAGCCCTTCAATACAAAACTCGGTTTTTGTAATTCATGGGCTATCAACAACTTCGGTATGCCTCAAATCAGAAGGATCTTTGTGTCATTGTTTAAGGCAACCTAAGTTGTTCTTTAAACTGCTCCAGGGCGTCTTTCACCGCTATAAAACATGGTGGTTTGCTAGAGCGACTATAAGGCAAATGTGAACTTACGCTGTTCTCACGTTTGTTAACAGTCTACATTTGACCCCACATGGAGTATACAATTAAAACGCGGAATCCACGGCTTCATCGCGATCGTAAGGTCTTAGAACATCCACAAATAATGGTCACGAAAAAATAATCAAGGGACTGCACTCCAAGACTTAGATGGAAAGACTGGAATCATTGGGGCTGTACTGTACACAGTGTCACCGAAATCAAGGGCATTTGATTTTGGTGTACCAAATAGTACAGAACCACGATCATCCATGTCGTTCACTGTTCGCCTTGTCGTCCAACAATCACCTGGGGGGGGGGAGCTTTTCCAAATTAGTGCTCCAAAAATGTCGACTAGAGTGCGTCATTCATTTGCACTCAGAGTGTGCACTATTTGAAATTCTCTACCACCTCACGTTGTTTCTGAGCCAACAATTAGATCTTTCAAGAACAAACTGGATGAAACTTTGACAAGTCTTAAACTTCGACATCCGTAGCGGTGCAGAAAACACGGATATATATATGTTACCAACACCATAACAATATTAACAATAACAATAACGAGCGGGAAGGGGGAGTTGGGGTACAGAGTATAGGGAAAAGATGTAGCTGTCAGAATAGGAGATTACGAACAAATGGAATAACAATTTCTTTTTGTGAGTTTCACCGTACACTTTTTGAAATTTTTTGTTGTTTTTTGTTTTTACCGGACACGGGATTTCGACAGGCAGACCGTACAGCATTCACGCCACTGACTTCTATTCCGGACCATATCTCTCAGCGTCTCTAACTAACAACCATCCTCATCCGTTGGGCCCCAACCTGGAAGGCGGGCTGCACAAAGCTGCACAAGCCAAAATTGAAGACAGCTTCTTCATGCCTCTAGCCCATGTCATGGTCTGACCGCCGCGCCGCTTCTTCCAGCCTTGCCCGGCACGTGCAAAGGGAGCACGGAAAGGTGACCAATCGGCAGGCATAAGCAAAACATCAGTGGTCGAATACAGAAAGTCAATTAGAATCCTGAGCTCAGAGATGCCAGGTCTCGTAACCGTAAAGCAGAACAGTACGAACTGCGGCGATGTACACCCTTCCCTTAAGGGACAGTCGGATGTCATTTGCAACACCACAAGTGTCGTAGGTTGATGAAAGCTACTCTAGCTTTTGATATTCCTAATGTGATCTCGTCCCCAACACTACCACCAGCTACGATCAAGCTCCCGAGGTACTTAAAGTTCTCAACTACTTCTAGCTGATCACCACTGAGGGTGAGTGCAGGCACAGGCTCCTGCCAGTCTTGAACCAGCACTTTGCACTTTGAAGGTGCAAAGCACATACCATACCTGGATACCTCGATCGCCAAGCGGTTCATAGCCTCTTGGACTGCCTGTGTGTTTTCAGCCAGCAAAGCCCTATGGGACAAGAAAAGAAACAGCTTGTAAGTATTTCCTATGACACAACTCTGACTTTGAATCTGGACAGGGGACGATACGAAAAGATACAGGCAAATTGCAAACTGGCCATGAGGAACCTATCAAATAAAAATCGCTAAGTGGTCAACAAACCCGGTTTTGAACACTAATACACAGTAGAACGAAGTGAAACTGCCTCACAGAGATAATTTTAAGCTTTTTTGTGTGAAAATTCGTATCAATGGAACTAGGTCTGGTCAGCACAAGCGCAGCGGGTATTGCAATTTGCAGCTGAAACTAAATATCGTGGGGATTTAAGTTACATTGTTTTGCATTGATTGATAAATTAGTTTGACTATTGAATGAGTTTTCACGATGCATGCAGAGAACCGAATCTAGTAAGCACATAGTATATAAAGTTTATGTGCATTGTACTTTTTGTCATTCTGATATGAGTTGCGTTCCATCTGGTGAAGGTTGTTAGTCATTAAACAATAAGCGGTGCAAATAACTGAAAATTCATCTATAAATTTGTTTGTTTGTTTCATTCGAAGAAGTCTCACGGACATTTCCATTCTTAATGGTTGTTCAAACTGAGCTAAACTGAACCGGTCACAATGAATAAAGCATTCTTGTGTCTTTTTTAGAGTATCAAGGGTGGTTTAGCCCATTGGATAGTTCAGAGATACCAGACACTCTTGACGGTTTTGGTTACAGGGTTTCACTTCTTGGGATGTTGTTGATTCCCCAATAGTTGAGTGCATTTACATGCAACGGAAATGTTTTTGATGACCGACAAAGAGCACTGGACAGCTGTTTCATTCTTTGCCTCTGACAGGGACACACCAAAAAGTACGCACTGATAACGAGTTCCAAACAGACCGAAACAGCTGTCCAGTGCTCTTTGTCGGTCATCACGAACATTTCCATTGCATGTAAATGCATTCTTGTGTTTGTTCCCCNCTCTGCCCCCCCCCACCACAAAAAAATTAAACCATCCCAATGAACTGTTCACATTTGTCACGGAATCTGTTATTATTTTCTTTCCCATTTACCACAAAGTTAAACAAATTATCTACACTTCTTTTTCTCAACATTTCAAAGCTTGCCAACATGAAACCAACGGTGGACACATCTCCCCCCAAAACGTTTTACCTGAACCAGACGAAACCACGAAGGAATTTTGTATGGAATATTATTCGTTTTAGATCCCATTACACATTCAGTTTGCCAAAGAAACACTCGACCGTATTGAAAAAGAGAATGTGCGTTTGATCAAACGAATGCAAGAAATCATGCAGCTGAAAGGAATAATAGATAATCAGAATCATTATAAACCAAAAAGGTGAATCTGTCTTGTCTATGACAATTGCATTGAGCAGTCTGAACGAGGAATTCCGGAAACGAGAAGTGGATCGTATCATGCGTGACAATGAAGAACTGTTCAAAAGGATGAAGCAACGTTTGACAAACACTCGTCGACCACGCTGGGAAGACTCGTGGGCCAACACTTTGATCTACCTGGACAACATTTCTAAATACCCAACTACCACATGCAAGGTGAGCAATCAAATATCACATTTCCGCCCATAATTTACTGCTTAGGATATGATAAACGGACTATCATTTTGTGAAAATTATGGAAAAAACATTTCGAATGAACAATTTGTTTCAGTTTGACCATTACAACAAAATGAGCAAATTTTCGTTATCTGTCACTGACGAAACTAGCAGTACTCGAAATGTCAAAAAAGAACCTGAGCTGCCTCTAGATCAGACCAAATATCCCGAATAATTTAGCAGCAAGGATATCCCCAAGTAACTGGGAGTAAGGCTAATAGGAACTTAAAACATCCAATCCAGTCGGTGCGAAGCTAGTCAATGCAAACCCGCATGGAGGACTTGTTTCGGTGGGGAGCTCTCGATTGGAGTTAATAGAGGGTCAACTGTGCCTCCCTTAATTGCTGTTGAGCCAAAAATGAACTGACTGACTATAATCAAACACTATAACTGAAGAAACATAATTCGGCTATTCAATTCAGCCACAGTGTGGTCTAGTTGACACAGTGATAAAATACACGCCCTCCGCGCGATAGATCCGGAGTTCAAAGCCCGGACAGGACGCACGGATATGCACCACCGATGCGTTTGAATGAGAGTAAATCTCAAGTCTAGTGATTCTAGAACGTACAAATGACTGAATTCACTGCGGATTGTGCGTAAAGTTGAAATTCGAAGGATGCTCAGTTCAAATCGTGATATAATAATAATGGATCACCATCAGCAGAATGATCAGTACTACTTCACTAGACTAGAGGTCGCTACCCAACGCTACCCACAGTAGAAAAATGCTACAATCACAAAGATAACCCACTGTCTTGACTGATGGATAATCTATGAATTCATTCAAAGGTCGATCGGAGTTGAAGGCAACATTGAGCATCAAGATTGTAGCGAATCGAACTTGCCTGATTGCTGTCCAGCTCAAAATGGTGCATATATTTATGACAGGTAGATAACTAACCTATTTGGGGAATGGAAAAACGAAATGGCCAATACACAGAGTGCAAAATATTAGCAATTTAAGAAGCCTAGACTATGTTCACAGTGGATTAGTCCGATAAATATGTTTTTGGAGATCACTGAAAATTGCAAAGCTGCACTCCATAGGATCGATGCGGATGAAACGTCAGATGGTAAACACATTTGACAATTAATGCTTATCACTGACCGGAGGGGCTTGAAATAGTTTTTTCTCGAGTTCGTTATATGTCTATCTTTTAATAGGTACATGGAAATTATAGTATTATATAGCCAATGACTGTTGTGAGTTTAAATACTGCGCATGGAAAAACCTGTCAGTGATAGAATGACAGAAAGAAGACCTTCTAATGCTGTCGATTATGTGCCACCTACATCAGGATTTCTATTAAACCGGTCATCAAATCCTTTCTTCAGGAGTTAACAGAAATTTTTATCAAAATATTTGCAAATACGCGAGGCAGTAATATCAACCGGTTTGATTCATCTTATTGAAGCAATAAAGCACACCAAAAATAATGGTCAAAGGCTTAGAATAGATCAATAATTTCTGCACACTTCACACAAGGACTCGTATACAAGCAGTCCAGTTAAGTGATCATCGTAAGCTGCTATCACAGATGTTTCAATATTAAAATCAAGAAGTAATTGCTACGCAGAGTCAACCTATCGGTGGACAGCTGAATGATTTGAAAAACGCACATCAACATTCTATGCTCAGATGGTTTGAACATTGGGAACACTGGGAACGTCTGCCTGTCCAGTTTTACAATGAGACTGACGGAGCTAAATCTTCGCAATTTGATATATACTTAACGACAGCTTTGCTTCTTTTTCAGACAAATATATTAAACGAATAAGTTGTTCATTCTGCGGACAATACCGTTATATATATCAGTATTGACCGTAGAATAAACAACTTACTTATTTAAGAAATCTATCTGAAAAAATGTAAAGCTGTTGTTTATATATATATATATATATATATATATATATATATATATTCACACACGTCTGACGCCCGAATGTGTGCCACACAAATCGTGGTACAATTATCTTTATAAAAAATGTCCATGATTTGCATGTGGGCGGAATACTGCTGGGTTGCCCAGGCCAAGGTAGGTGAATTTTCTTGAGAAATTCANTCTTTGGACGGGGTCAAACTTCTAAGGTGAGAAATACACCTTGATGCCCAATCCAGCTGGTGACGATTGCCACAACCGGTAAGTTGTGTGTGGTTCGGACACCTCCTCATGGTTGGTGTGGAACCAGGGTTTTTGACCAACTTCCCTAGGTGAACTACCAGTGGTCTAACAACCCGATTATAGCTCCGGACAATACTGATGCTGATCTCTAACTGGTGATGAGGATGGAGAGCATTACTGAGCTTCCACTGATTTACAATAGCCAGTAAGATACGGTACCGTTTTACAATGAACTCTCGAAATGTTTAAAGCAGACTCCCGAATAGTACGCATTAGTCTCGTAGTCTGTATTCCTAGCCTTTTTCCACATGGATGACTAAATAGTGTTTTATGCTTTTCATGCTTTTCCCAACAGTCTACAAGAGATAACAACGCTGGAAAAGCCAATAGCAACACCATTTCTGAAGAGAAAAAGAAAAAACAAGGCGAACCGGATTCAGATGAGATCGTGTGTGCAGAAAAGGTTCCGGTCAATAAGGAAGTGACAGATATATCAAAGGAATAAACTGAGCGAGTCAGCGAACAGAGGACAAACGAGCTTTCAACCATGACAGCAGACCTTGTGCCACTGTTTTTTTCAAACGTACCGTTTCTTCTCCGTTCCCACCATCATCCCCTCGGATGCTGAATTTTTTCTGGCCGGTAGCACTTTGAGTTCGTTTCATCACGGTTAATACGAGGACTATTCATTCTTTGTCCGCCTGCACACACACATGCATACATCAGCAACACTATGCACACTTAGTAACGTTGCAGCATTTGTTGATCAAATACAAATACATATTTTGACCAAAACTTACTGCTTCTGGCCTCTCATGTACCCGCACTTGAGTACCTTTTGGATGCATTTAATCCGCACCACTCTGTGTCTGTTCTATTCACTAGGACGAGACAGAACAAGAAAAGGATCGTCAGAAACTGTCACGGGAAGATGACAAATCAATACGCCCGTTTGTGGAAACTGTGGAAAATAAGGCGCTCGAGATGATCAGCACGTTGGATCCGAATCACATGGTGCTGAATCTGAACGATCCGGAGATCAGACGAGATCCGGATTATTGCAAACTGGTCCAGTGAGTATAGTCGGACAGGACAAAGAAACTCTATTTGTTATTGTCGTTGTTGTTGAATTATTCAACCTAGTGAATTACTCCAAGTAAACGCGTTAGATGTGTCTAATTATGTTGTTTTGCGTCATACGGGAACACTTCTTCGGATGCCAATAGATGCATCACACAGTCTCGATAGTTCGCAAGCCTCATTCGAGTGATGAATGATGATCTGATGAACGGGTTTGGTCATAGAGAATTCCCCCAAGTTAATGGATATGGTGAAATTATTCAGCTTAGTATTGATGAACAACGGATAATCTCAGTAATGTTACCAAATCCATCGCAATTTCCGCGAGTACTATCCGACTTAGCTGAATGATGGAGTAACCAAGAGCATCAATCGTTTCACATCGAGTGCAATCAAACCACGTGGTTATTGTGACCTAGGTGTTACATCACTCCGTCCGCCCTGAATTTACCTCCGAATCATCTATCTGTCTAAGAGGATTAGGAGTTGCATTTAGGCTTCCCCACCCCCAATGGTTCGCAAAACAATTTGTATGAATATTCGCCATTTCGTGGTAATCACCACACACGAGACGGTCATCTGTCAGTAATGACTCGAACCAATAAGTATGTATAATGACCACGGAGCGAGCAGTATCTGATTATGAAACTTTGATGTGATTTGTTTGTACCTCATATTCTGTAATGATTTTTCCCGACTGAATATTATGGAATAAATTGCTGTTTTAGCCGGTGGATGAATCACCGCAAACCGAATTGTTCTCTAATGTTCTCTAATGTTCTCTAATGTACAGTGCATAACATTGATGTATATGATAAAATGGTATACTCGGACACTAATAGACATAACAATGAGAAATATATGTTGACTTCTACTGAGCATCATTTTAGAAAAGGCTCTTCATAGTATCAGAAGTGATAGAAAGCGAAAGAACGTTTTCTATTTGATGGAAACTCAACGTCCTGAAAACATTCATATCCATATTAGGTTTTTATACACTTATTCTGAAACAGATGGATGAGTGTATTAGTGGATGTCTTTTTTCTACCTTAGCCGAGATTATGCACTCGAAATATCTTGATTCATTCGTTCATTACTTTCTTGTTCTACTACTCTTTCCTGTCCCATTGCAGAGCAGAACCGGTAGACGAGCCACCAGAAGCAGTGCGAGGATTTGTGGCCACAGTGATTCAGACAGCACTACAACATGTTTACGAGCAAGGTTTGCGCTCAGATCCATCCAAGTAAGTGGTCGATCATGTTCGTGCCGTGGTCCTCGTTCGTTTGTATAACAAATCCACGGATGCCGTTCCGATACAAGTTTGAGCGAGGAAACTGCATACCGATTATATATAATTGTCACCAACGTCGTAATTCGGCTACTCTTTCATACCAGATGTGTGACATATACACACAATTTGAATGGCAGTGTTTGAAGGAGTTCTCAGGACAGTAGGCTTTGGTCCAATGACCTAGATCAAGGAAATTTGACCGGGTGGTTGTATTAGATGATTTCAAACAGGGATCACCGAACATGTGAATACCACGGTAGGAGGAAACGAAAGCAAAGCAATACATTCCGTGGATTTGTACCAAAACGGTGCAATCCCTCCAACACAAATAATAGTGTTGAAAGCGAAATTTTAGTTTTTACAACTAATAATCATGCACTTTCGTGCTTCGGTTTTGGTCGCTACCTGTTGACTGCCCATTTGGATAAAGGAAAAATTTGAATGTTTAAATCAGTGTCAGAGTGAGAACAGATTATTCACGTAGTCTACGGTTACAAGGATAATGAGTAGATGCAAGAGCGCCAATGTTTAGGACACAGTCATCTAACTCCGTATTTCTGGCCATTGATTAAGCCGACCCCGATGTCCCGGTCTAGGCAGTCTAATGTTATTTATGTGAGCAAGTCTTCCTAACAGGGTTTTCATACCCTCATACCGGGTCTTACTTTTACCAACCTTTACTTTTTTCACTCATCATCTGCCTCTGGAAAGAACATGCACCGTTGCAATCGTTTTGGTGACAAGCGTGAAGCATGTCGACTACGGCCAGTCGTGACGAACTTCTGAACAGGACCCTGGACTCGCAAACAACCAAGTTACCACCGGTTAAACCAGAAGCCCTGTGGTTTTTGTAGACCTGTATTGGGGTACTGTGGCACAGGGAATGTACCGGTACGAGAATTTGCGTTACAGCACGGAGGCAACAAAATCCTGCTAGCGCGATAACGTGCAAACCGATCGAAAGTGAAAAGTGGAAGTCCTCTCGCTGAAGAAAACAGCAGTTAGCGATCATGTAAAAATGTGAACATAAATTTTGATTGTCGAGGAAAAATGATGTCTGGCGAATGTCTGTTAGTGTCCGGATTTCAGCGTACAATCGGGCACACTACAAGTGAAACACATGCTTCGGCAAACGTAATCTTGCTTCAGTGGGTCACCGGGGTTACCTAAACCCTGCACCTAACCTCAGCCTTGCTTGTCCGGTTTCCCCACCGGACTCGTGCAATGCAGCCTAGGCAACGATGTTCAAACACCGACAGCAATATATCTAAAGTGTTCACAGAGTGAAAGTAAACACCTCTAACAACTTTTCAACTCATTGTAGTTAAAACTACTGATTTGTACAAAATTATTCCAGTTATCTAAAATTAGAGTAATGAAACATCTGAAGAAATAAAGAGTTAAAAGTATATTTTCACTAAATTAAATTTGACTTATTAAAAGCTTCCAAATATTGTTGCCCATTTCTTCGGTGGAATATGTCAGATAGAGACTGTGAGCAAACAGCATGGGGTCATGGGGTCACTCGGATGAACACAATTTCTGTCCACGCTAGCTAACCATCCACAATGCAACAACAACTCCACTGATAGAGAGAACTATCACCGATTAATTGTACCATAGTTGCCATGGTAGTGAACACGTTCCATTTGTGAAAACGCGAAAATCGCGTTATGCGTTCAGCTTCTCTACAGGTTAAATAAAACAAAACATTACCCCTCCTGCTCCTCACACAGGACACCCGAGAACGCGTATAGGTTGTTAGAAGTCGTACGATATCCCAGTGACAACCGGAAGACAGATATGATTGATTAAGTTCGGTGAAAAAGGGAAGAGTGAAAATGCTGTATCCTCAATACTGCTGTCCCGATGCGTCCGTAGTTCACAAACAATCTCACTACCCACTGTCAGGGTCGCAATATTTATGCGGGATTCCAGCATCACTACAGCAAAATTAAACACATAGAGCTGAGTAATTATATCACGATTAAAATTGGACCGTCTAAGAATTAAGGGTTTCCATAGGTTCACCCGGCGGACGAACCACAAATGAAGTGTCGACGCTCATCCCAAAGGCTCGATTGGCATTTGCCAACTTGAGAAATCCGTGGCGCTGTCGCGACATCCGGCTGTCTGTGAAGGGTCGAGTGTATGCTGCAGCAGTTCGGCCAGGCCTGCTCTACGGTGGAGGGACTTGGCCTCTAAAGGAACAGGATAAAAATAGATTGTCGGTGTTCGAACACCGCTGTCTACGTAGCATTTGTACGTGCAACAGGATAAAAATAGATTGTCGGTGTTCGAACACCGCTGTCTACGTAGCATTGTACGTGTCTGGTGGGGTAACCGGACTAGCAATGCTGAGGTTAGGCGTAGAGTTTTAGCCAGTCGCGGTTGTCCACTGGAACAAGTGATCAACCTCCATAGTTTACGCTGGTTGGGACATGTGCTACGTATGTCGCCAGATAGGTTGCCGCGGCGAACGATGTTTGTCAAAGCTGGTAGCGATTGGAATAAGTTAAAGGGTGGTCAAGCTAAGACCTGGCATGAGGGTATGAAAACCCTAAACTAGGTCACATAGGCCCCGTTAGGCTCCCTGGTTGGGGGCCTCGAGATGACGGTCACCGATGGTTAGCTACACTGAGTGATATGGTTGGGTGTCGCAAACAGTGGCGCTTGTGCATCCACTCGTTATTCTCATAACACCACTCTATATGAATTCCCCATCTTCCGCTTGAATTTNCCAAAAGACAGCAACCAAAACCGGGGTACGAAAGTACATGGTTAGTGGTTGTAAAAACTGAACTGATAGGTTCACTGCTTGTGAGCATAAAACGGTTTTGCTTTATGTGGTGACAGGCAATGCACTAGGGGACAACACACTAGTGAGTCGAATTTTCAGCTGCTGTTCGATTGCACTCTTATCTGACGAAACGGTGTCACTTGACAGTGCGAGATCATAATTCACAAGTCCATCCATGCACACCCTCCTGAATTGTTTGCGTGTTTGTGGTGAGGAAAGCTAGCCGCTTTGAGTTGACTCTCCGCTGCTCTCGAAAAACAAGTTACGGTTGTCACTTGTTCCAAGATGCACTT